TCGGTTTTCTGTGAGGCCGTGGTATCACTCCGGTCGAGCCGGCCCATTCGTGCTGAAGCATGGCTTTACCACAACATATAGAAAAGAAAAATAAATATATAAAATAGAAGGCGAAATATAACCTTAACTCTTACCATCACATTTAAGAACTACCAGAAAAGTTGTAGAACAAAGCCTTAAAATAGCATTACGTATGTACAAGAGAAGGTTCGAATGTAATCTCAGAACAACAATCTGCCAACAGATATATATAATGTTAAGTAACAGCGACCAAAGCACATACATATACATAAATATACTTCAATATGTTATGCTGGTAGTAGACTAACATACGTAGCCTTGACAACACAGCATCGTGTAGAAAGGGCAGTTACTGTAGGTACCTATTGCCATAACTAAACGGAGCAGATAAAGGGAATGGGCTCAAGGATCTCACGAGAATTTGAGTCATGGACTGTGGAAGGATAAAATTTGTTAGTACAGCAGTATTTATATGTTGAACTAGCGACCCGCCCTGGCTTCGCACAGGTGCCATATGCATGAATTATACATATAAACCTTCCTTAAGAATCACTATATTTATTAAAAAACCGCATTAAAATCCGTTGCGTAGTTTTAAAGATCTAAGCATACATGGGGACAGACAGACGGCGGATAGCGACTTTGTTTTATACTATGTAGTGATAGTGATAATGAAGAAGGCTAGGTGAAGTCTCTATGAATGCGAGGGAAATTAAAGAACAAGGATCGTAATAGTTACTGCCTTCTCTATTGTGACGCAAATGTGGACCTCTAATTTTTCTGCGGATGTTGCAAAAACTGACTAAGGACATGATAGCAGCAGATAGTTCGTAGTTGCAGATTCGTTTTAAAAGTGTCTAATAAAGGATTAATTGAAATAAATGCTTTGACTTTCACTTTGATAGAAGCATTCTCTGATAAACCTGAACCTTTCAAACTGTAATCCTCAATCGTTGGTGAAGCGAGAAGATTATGGCAACCCCTCTTATAGGGAGAAGGGCCTGTAGTCCAGCTGTGAATTGTTACGGGCAGTTGATGACGGATGTTCTTTCTTTACTCTGCTACTTAAAATACCGTTATGGTAGCTCTAGCTATATGATATACGAAAGTATGGGCAATTTTATAGCCAATTTCACACTTCGTATAAAGTAACGTAAGTGCTATCAGTTATGATATATTGCGGATTTGCGGTACTTACCGTATGGTATCAGCACGGACTATGGTAAGATCCGCTAGTTGCTAGTTGCTACATTTAAGTACTGTTAACAAATCTAGCACTTTCATTAATCACGCACATCTTTGTTTAGATAAATAAGTTACAGTTTTTTTGTGAACAGATGATCATATTCTTTTAGTAAATCGTTGGTTTAGAACGTTTGATCAGGTTAAAGATAGCTTGGGTCTTTAGTATGTTTGGTTTTTGAAATTAAGTCAACAAATTAGCACACTGTCATCATTACAGGTCTAGGATTTACAGCCGGGATAGTGGTTGTTGAAGTATGCGCATTTGTATGTATCTTTCAGGGAATAAAAGGCGTGTTATAGTTATGTATAAAGCATGATGAATGTTATGTACGTAAAAATATTTTCATATTGCTATTTCAAATTGTGACTAAAATATAAAAATATAATATTATAAATCAGGTTTAGATTCGAACAGGCGCATTCAAGCGGTCACCGTTTGCGTTCGCCGACGCGCCCGGAATACAAATAAAAGAAATCTTTGCATCCTTCCTCGAGCATGCATCGCACAAACATGCTGCGCCATTTTATTCTGCAGGTGCATCACGCAGTGTTGCAGTGCCATCATAAATTAGAGTATTATATAAAGAGTTGTGCATATTTTAAACCCACCGATTGCAGTAGGAATAAGTAGACTATAAAAAAAAATTACATGCTTATTTTTTCCCTCAGAAATGGTTAAAAAAATATTTAAAGAGCTGTATAACATCGAATGTGACCTATGTTTGTTTGGTACCTCAACTATTGAACTATAATTTTGTAGTATTTTGGTACAAAGGCAGATCTATTGTGATTTTCTGATCTTAAAAACAATTTTTGATTTACGAATGAAGAATAAGAGTGTTAAATTTATTTCTGTAATCAACGTATATGTAGATATTATGACAAGCCTCAGGAGGAGCTAGTGGGTTATTAGCGTTATTAAACTGTCAAACACCAAGCGGTCACCGGTGACCGCAACCTATTGTTCTATAATTGTGTCTACAAAACCGGTACTCGATGAGTTAATCAAAAACTACTAGATAGTTGTGAATCGGAGAAGGGGTATGTTAAAATTAATGACTTGAAATTACTTTTTATAATAACTACGTGAATATAGTGAGAAAAGCTCTACTAGTTTCGAACCACAGACGGGTTCTTCCTCATGAGCAGCGTGCGCGGTCGCGGCGATGTCGCGCAGCCTTCTCAGAAATTACTAACTGACAATAAATCATCACAACGATAGCTTCCTTTATTGGGTACCTAAAGCATTTCGTGGCAACGTTCATGTAACTAAGTACTTGAATGAATGTGATGGAAACCAAAGATGAGTGGTAATTAACTCGTCGAGTACCGGTTTTGTAGACACAATTATAGAACAATAGGTTGCGGTCACCGGTGACCGCTTGGTGTTTGACAGTTTAAGGATCATTTTGTTTCTGCACACCCCTTTGACATGGGTGCAAGTTTTAGAAAATATGCATGAAATAAGGTCATCTCCTTTCCAACAGTTACAATAATAACGCATTACCTATACATATAACAAATTTGACCTTATTAGGTATCGAATCTATATTCACAAGAGTTCATAAATTCTCGATTGTCAATCAATGACATAAATTACTCATTATCGCCAATATCTTTTAAGACAATAGTTCATCAAGAATTAGATTGAATTAGGTACCTTATTTCCATCACAATAAAACTGCTTTCTTCATTACCTGAAATCCATCATGTTTGTACATAAACGAGGTTATTACGAAATATTGCGTACAAATGCGTATAAGTGTACAGTATGATGTATGTTTGTAGTGACTGTGTTGTTGGCTGTATGGTAATATGTGTGGCTGTCAATAATAAGGTTGTAGGTTCTAATAAAGTCTAATAGAATTGTGTGAAATCTTTCGGTTCACGTTAACCGCACTTATAAATATTTATTTTACTAGCTGACTCGTCAAACTTCGTACCGCCCAAAAAGAATTTTTTCTCAACCTTTTATACCTACTAGACTTTTACGAGCATTCCAAGAGAAAATTAGCCAAATCGATTCAGCTATTCTGGAGTTTTAGCGACACTAACGAACGACACTATACAGAATATAAACGAGCTTCTGCCAGCGGTTTCACCCGCGTTCCTGTAGGTTAAAAACCTATAAATTATTCTAGACCATAATCTAACCCTGTTCCAAACTTCACATCGATCGCTTCAGCCATTTTGACGTGATTGAGTAACAAATATACACACAAACTTGCGTATTTATAACATTAACTAGCTACTTCCGCGCAGTTTTACTCGCTCCCTATATATCAATCGTAGCGTGATATTTTAGCCTTGCTCGATAAATGAGCTATCCAACAAACAAAGAATTTTTCAAATCGGACCAGTAGTTTCGGAGATTAGCGCGTAAAACAAAAAAACAAACTCTTCAGCTTAATAATATTAGTATAGGTAAGATAAGATGCGAAAATGTATTGGTACTTAGTTTGTCTTCATATAGGAACGGAACGTTATGTAATAAGGTTTTCATGTTATTGTTAACCTAGTTAGGAAGCTAGGTAATACAAGCTGTACAGATCTGTGGATGGCAAGCAAGGGTAGCTTGCCGTCCGATTAGAACCAGACCCGGGCACGGGTCGCGGTCAGCGCGTAAAGAGCCATCACACCACTACAGATGGGGCCCAGTAGGGATGATGTCCGATACGGGGCCGCGGAAAGCCTAAAGGGTTGCCGCGGCTCCGGCTCGAAGTGCAGGACTAGGAACGGGATAGTTTTTAGTCAGTAAGAGTCTGACACTCCCTCTCGCCTAACCCAAGGCGGGAGAAGTCATTGGATGATTTACCCCCTTCGAAAAAAGCTGATACACGCTATCGGTTTTTCTTTGACCACGTGGGCAAAGTAACATGTAATACTTAGCTAACTGTAAACTTACCTAATGCTAAACACTAAACATAGATCGATTGATTAAGGAGTCGAGTTTTGCATTTGTTTTATACAATTGAATAGCTGAACGGCGAACACAATGGAATGTTTGTAGATTTTTTAACAATATTATGCAGTGTTCGGTAGCAATGCTTTTATTTTACGACATTATGTGATATGCCATATAATGAGAAATTGTTTTAGAATGATAGGTTTAAAAATATTGAGACGCAAGTCAAAATTTCATTCTTCCAAAATTAAATTAAATTTTAAAACTCAGTCCAGTCCAATCTAATTTAGATTCAGAGTCAAACTCCAAATAGTAAGAAAAGGGCTAATAAAAAGAAATTATACAATTTTTTAAGAACAATTTCCTCAATTTCAACTGTAAAACATATAGTCCGGTCGTTGATGTCTTTTGTATGTAAATAAAAATGTTGCATAAAATTCACTTAAGTACACATCGTTATGAAGATGAAAATGCCCACTAACATTCATAATTAGTGAATTATTCAAATATGTATGTAATAGGCGATTTAGTTGCTTACATTGTACGCTAGGTTTAGTAATTTAAGTTGGGTTCAAGTCATGTTAAGATCGGTTTTAAGTCGAACTTAACAATAATAATTTCCAAGTCATTTCCCAATCTCCATGAATATTTTATCTCTGTCATAAGAAACTAACATGTTGTAATCACACAGTGCCTACAGGCAACAAAACAAGTCATAATAAAATACGACTGACCTACACTAATATCAACAAAAACATTTCGCAAGAACATTGGAATAATTTACCATTACCTCACTCAAACCACAAATAAACAAAATAAAATAACAAACCTTTAATTAGAAACTCCAATTCCGTTCCACCAAAAAGGTTTAACACAATATTATTCCATTAAAAAACACTAAACTTAAACACTACAATATCACTGGCTGTTTCGAACGTGATTTTGAATTTGAAAGTGGAACGCGCGCACGCGCACGCAGTCCACGCAATACTGGCCGCTGATTGGAGTTCGATGCGCGGGAACGTGTGTCAAATGACGTATGACGTTTATAAACAGGTTGTATGGACATTATTGCAAATTATTTTTTTATAATTTATAGCTGAATGCAATCGCGGACTGAATAGCTGTTGGTCTAAATCAGTGTTCAGTGTTTCAGTTTTGTAATGATTGGTCTACAACTGTCCGATTGTAATGGTTTGTTACGGCGAAAGCGACCGGTATTCTTAGATGTTGCGAGGCTAGGAATGTTTGGTTGCTGATACTATGTATTATTAACTATAACACAAAATTACAAATCAAATTAACTAGTTTTTTGTTTGTTGTTGTTTGATGTTAATAGTTATAAGTTAATAACCCTCATACTTACTTATATGCATCTTCAGAATGATTATAATGATAATGTACACATAGGTAGGTTCAATGCTGGTAATTCCAATTTCAAATGAACAATAAAAAACTTTAATGTGCAGTAATGTAGATGGGGTTTCAATAATTTCTCAGAGCAGAGAGTTTTTTACCCGAAGCCCCGTGCCCGGCATTTTTATGGGACAAGCCCGCCACAACCTCCCAAAACCGCTGCAACTCCTGTAAGCCAGGATCTACAGTAGATACAACCATGAAAACACCGGAACACTGAAGTCCGTCCCGTGCCCGGCAGTCGCTCTTGAGACCACCACGACCACACGGCTAACGAGACAGTCTTTCTATCTAGTTCATAATGCAACTACTTCCAAAGTTTGACCTGTGACTTGGTTCACCCAGATCGTAGACGAAATGACGCCGCCAAGTCTATTTAAGTAGACTTCATAAATAATACATAGCCATCATAAATAGCTGGTCGATTTATAGCGCGTCCGTTGTCTCTTGCTAGTTAATATTCTGTATGAATCACGGTCTATGGGACAGAATGTATGGGATAGCTATTTGATTTCAAGTTTTGATAGAGGTAAATTCTTAAAATTACGACTGCTAATCATAAAGACGCTTTCTACCGACCGGCGACCGATGTGGAACTTCTGGAAGTGATTGGGGGAGGCTTACTAACCCCTATGGATGTTTCACTTGTCCGAAATAAACATTATTTTATTTTATTTAAATTCAATAGGGGTTGTGACTGAAATGATGATGAACAACTGAATTGAGCAGGCTTCTCGGTTGATAGTTGTTCGTGCCCAATTGACTAAGAAATTATGTAGGTAGTTGAAGAAGAAAGGCATTGAAATTCAGCAAGTTAAAAAATCAATTTTCTGAGTTCAAAGATCCTTGTACCTAAATCCATTTGTAATGTCGAGGGTCGTTTTCCTTACAATCGGAGCAATGACTCAGTAGATTTCCCACGGCTAAGAACAATACATCTTACATCCTTTTTTACCACGTACAACAGAGAGAGACACCTACATAGCGTAGGACATGGTTACATTTGCAGAAGCCTTGTGTATAAGAAAACATTAATCTTCTGTTTTGAAGTGATTTGCCGTGGGATTTAGGAGTAACTTGTATTGTATTGAATACATAGAATCTTGTAGGATGAATGTAACACTTTTACTCTAGTGTTACTACATAAAAGCCAACATGTAGACGTGATTCCCCTTTGTAAGGTCGTAGGTAGGTCACCTTATGTGTACCGAGGCTTCAGTTAGGAGCAGGAGTTGGAACGGGATAGTTTTTAGTAAATTGTGACTAACACTACGTAGTGAGGAACACTAAGGATACGAGAGAAGTAATTTTATGAATATCCATAAAAAGGATTGTGATGCAGAAAAATAAAATAGAGGACCCTGTTGCTGATTCCCGAAACTTAAATAGAAGGAACCTTTATAATATCTCTTCTTCATCGATTTTGACCATGGCAGTCAATCTTTACTGTTCACTAACTGCCAAATTCCAATAGGACAACGAAACGATCAGAAAGATATGACATGTTTAGCGCAGAACCAACGTGCATGCAACCAAGTCGCAGGGACGGAACATCATCAACTTTTCAGACTTCTAATTTTAAGACGTAGGTAATTAGAAAGGTTTTCTCTTATCATTTCAGCGTACTCACACCCATAACTTCCCAAATCAGTTTTAACTTGTCGAGCACTGTTATTATCACTGATATGATAAGAGTATGGATAAGAAACAACTAGGAAAAAATCGTGCCCACATAAACTTCACTTGGTCACCCGTAATGGCGGATAGAACTAGGGATGTAACTTTTAAAACTGTAGAAATATCGATATTTTAGAATTGGTTTTGATTGACTTAACAATAAAATATCATTATTTTATGATTCATCTGGATTTAATTTTTATGTAGCTGCTAAACATTACCAACATATTAGCGAAATATATTTAGTAGTTGCTGCGTGCACTGTCACTCCAGTCGATCGTGCCTATACATTCACATCATAACTTTCACGATACTTATGTATCGAAATTCATGAAAAGGATTTTCCATCAACTGGTCAATATTTATATACTTAAGGTTAAGTAATTTTTGAGGGTTGAAAAATAAAACTGTATCAAAGTATTCATAAAATCAAGATTTATAATATACAATATCTTCGTATTTTTCGTAGTGTTTCCCTGTAATGTAATCTGCAAAACCATCTTTCGAGAAGACTCCAGAACTGGTTCCAAGTTCATTTTCATGCACATATCTGGCTAGAGGCTGCAACATAAATAGTATAATTTAACTTACTTGATCCAATTGAACATAGATTTTTCTATAGATTCTATAGGTACTGTACTAAGCTCTGAACGAAAATGTTTGTACATTACAATGATAGTGATAGATAGCGGAGGAAAACAGAAACATATAGGTACAAGAACCCGGTTAGTTATGAACTTAATATAAATGTTAAATAAAATGTTAAGTTTGCACCTCTTCAAAAAATGCTTCCAAAACTAATATAACAAAACACATAATGAATCGTTTACATTATGATTTACCAATAGAGCTTGTAGCGATAGGGCCCCATCACGTAGATTTACTATTAATTTATTGTTCGGTTAAAACATTAATCTTCAAAATAAAGTTAACAAACAAAGATATGTTTCCTTCTAGTATCTATATTTCCCACATTAATTATTTCCAGCCAAGAACTTCTGCGTGGTTCAAGCACAAACTAAAAAGAAAATTTATAATATTATTAAAATTATCGGCAGAGTTCGACACATTCTAATAAATACTCTAAAAATACCCTAAAGTTATATTTCATTTGTTTGTTTCATTTGAATCCGTCGAGCGGCATTTGATAAAAAAATCAATTTTGACAAAAATGCATTTCCCACAATATTATTCCTTATCTCATATTGTACAAAAATTATTCTCTATTGTATTAATTATTTATTACATTACGTAGGTATTGACGATGGTGGAATTTTGTCGATAAAATGAAATTTTTGACGAGTACTTAATGTTTTTTGTATTTTGTCATTATGTCAAATTAATGCACTTTATCATTCAGAATTTAGTATAGTTCTTTGTTCTACTTTTGACGCATTTATTATGTACGATAAAATTATCGATACGGGAACAATCATGTACATCACTATTTTTTAATGAAAATTGTTTTAGACGTATTTCAACTAAAATTAATGAAAATAAGCACTGCATTAGTTAGAAAAGTATTGTATTTAGTCAATTTGCAGCAACCACACTTGAATAGTTTGAAAAACAGAGATATTTTAATGAAAAATAACAGTACTTACCGATGTAATGTTACACCTGCCGGTTTCGTAATATTTTTAGTGCTACATCCAATAACACTGCACCCGGGCATAGTTCTTCTCACTAACCAATAATTTCTTTGTTTACCACGCACAAAAACAACAGGAATTCTACAAATTTTCGTAACAAAATATTGTTGACCAATGCTTTGACAGCTGATGTACCACTGACATGCACTGATAACAGGGACTAAGATGGCCAATTCGGCACAACTAGGTTTTATTGATGACGTCAAAAAATTATGACCAGAATGACAATAATGTGTTGTCTCTTTCTGCATAAGCAAAGAGACCTAAGTAAAAAAGAAACAATAGTATGTTTATGAATTTACCGTCAAGATGGATCCTAAATTCTACCCGTAGACAATAGCCAGACATCTATGTTATATTTATAAATCTATGGTTATTATAGACACAATTATAGAACAATAGGTTGTGGTCACCGGTGACCGCTTGGTGTTTGACAGTTTAAAGGAAGTTTTGCTAAACATTTCGGTAATGCGACCGCACTTATAACCGCGTAACGGTTTAAGCCGACGCTATATTATTGTCGTACGTGTTTTCCTGTGCCCACATATTTAGTACATCTATATGTAAGTATGTATGTATGTAGTTACTATTTACCGTTTGAAATTTCCCCTTGAAAATTAAAAATGAAAGCGAGTTGTTAACTGTTTTGTTTTTAAAACACTAATGAAAACATCTAGTTAGTTGAGGTCACCTGTTGTCACCTACATGTTTTTATATATTGTGAAATAATTGTTTTAGACAAAATTGAACTTTATAGCCAGCTTTTAAAGACTACTTATTTATCGGATAGACTTTTTTTATGGGATAGGCCGGTAAACGAGTAGACGGGATCACCTGGTAACCGCCACTACAACCAGGGCCGTCTTAGACTACGCCCTTACGCACACAATAGGTCGGGTCCGTTTTGAAATGTTTTTTTTTTTACTAACGTTGCCCCACACTATATCGTTTGGTGCATTATTTTACAAACATACACGTTCACAATTTCATATACACATAATATACCCAGACTCGAAACAACAAGTTGTAGAGCATACAAAGATTTGCTCCGTGCGGGAATCGAACCCGCTACAAGTTGCGTTGTAGTCGGTTGCCGAGGTCCTGGTCATGGGCCCCGAGTGTCCTTATGGTAAAGACGATAGTGTCCACAACCTTCGATTAATATTTATATGAAAAAAGAAATAAAAAAATCAAAACAACTTAAATCCTTCATCATACCTACACATAACAG